TCTAAAATCAGGTAGTGTGAGACCTCCTACTTGGTTCTTGAGTATGGTTCTTTTTAGTAAGAGTTACTAGAGAGGCAATTCAAAGGATTGAAAACCTCACTCCTTGGCATGGGACAGCCCAGTTTATTTCTACTTTACACAGGACCAACAGGTTCAACCCTATGAATGGAAGTCATCCCCTGGAAACCACAGTGCTCTGGTATCAGCAGGTCCCTTATTAGCAGCCGTCAGAATTCCTGCATTGATCCTCTCAGTCTTTCAACTTTATGTTTTCTGAATCTTTGTTTTTTTCTTCTACTTTCTGGGAGATTTCTGTTTTATGGGTATAACACTATCTTGAATCTCTCTAAGGATACAAATTACAATTAATTTTTTTTCTTTTATTTCCTTTGGAATGATTTTTCTGTTTGCTTATCTTGGCTTTTCTATTTACGTGTGGGGATTTCCTGAAATGTCTGGTGATGCTTAGTTGCTCAGTCACATTTAAGAAAAAAAAAAACAATAAAAATACGTTCTGTATGCTGTATTTATGGGAAGTGTGTAGATTGGGAGGTGGCACTCATTAATACTTGTCATTACTAGTTGCCATCGAGTTGATTCTGACTCATGTTGACCACATCTGTGCTGAGTAGAACTGCTCCATAGGATTTTCAAGGTTGTGTCCTTTTGGAAGTAGATTGCCAGGGCTTGCTTCTGAGGTGCATCTGGGTGGGTTCAAATGGCCAACCTTTCAGCTAGTACTTGAAGGCTTAACCATTTGTGGTACCCAGGGACTCCTTCCCTTAATACTAGAATGTAAAAATCTCTTCTCTAGTCTTTCAGTTCCTTTAGAGAAAAAAATGCTCTGATTTTATGCCTGGGAGATAAGACACCTGGCTTCAAATGCAGTTTCCTGCACCTCTTACTTCTGCCTTTTGTCGTACCTGATATTTTGGAGACTCAGTTCTCTCTAGGGCACTGCAAGGCAAATCAACCACCTTCCCAGCTGTGTTTGCCTCCATTTACCCTACAGTAAGGTTTCTTCAGCCTTGCTTCATTAACTACCACTCCCTACAGCTGCTATCCATCTTCCAGAAACTTGCTGAAATTACCCACTGAACTTGCTTTTTGCTTTGCCAATATGGGTTCTTACTTTTCAAAAAAAATTTCATGCCTTTAGTCTCGTTTTAATGAGATCTCCAGAGGGAGAAGGGATAAGCTTGTGTTTTATCATATTATGAGTCTTGTTTCCCTAATCTCCTTCCTTCAGATCCTAGAATTCTGCTGAAGATGATGCTACAGATCTTTGTCAGGCCCAGTGCAGGGGAGAGAGAGCCCTATTGAAGGACCAGATGCCTGTGGTAAAGCTGCAACCTAGCTCAACAGCTGGAAAGCAGCCAACTGTGGAACATGCAGAATCCTGAGAAAATCTGGCCCTCGAGATTCCTTGAAGGGTTATCTAGGGACTAGTGTAGGCCTAGATGGTCTACCCTAGATAGTACAAATGGTTAACGTGCTCAACTGCTAACTGAAAGGTTGGAAGTTCTAGTCTACCCAGAGGCATCTGGAAGAAAGGCCTTGTGATCTACTTCCGAACTCAGCCATTGAAAACCGTATGGAGCACTGATTTTATGTTAAGGGTGGTAGAATGATTTGGAAAAGGATAACAAGAATGATTACACAACTCGAAGAATGTAACCAATGTCACAGAATTGTACATGTAGAAATCGTTGAGATGGTACATGTTTTGTTATGTATATTTTAACCAAATTAAAAAAAGAAAACAAAACTCTATAGAGCACATTCTGACCCACACGGGGTCGCCATGAGTCAAAGCTGACTCGATGGCAACTGGTTTAATTGGAATGTAGGCCTAGCTTTAGGTCTAGACCACCCAGAAAAGCCCCAAATTCCCCAGAACAGTGGTGCTTGCCACTTTTGGGGTCCTGGACCTCTTTTGAAGATCTGATGAAAGCTATGATGCCCCTCCCATGAAAATGCACATACAGTTAAAATTTTCTACACAATAGAAGCGGGGTTCCAGGAAACTGAAGACATTCATGAAGCCCAGGTTGAAAATCCTTCTCCTATAATGGTAATGTCTGAATTGGCTTCAGAAAAGTTGTGGGAATGCTATCCCTAAACAGGATATGTTGGATCTACTTAGAACCTTTACTAAAACCCTGGCATCAATGCCCAGTCTGAGATTCTTGAAGGGCTGGATTCCCAGACCTGCCTAGATCTGACCCTGATTGTCCATTGTCTCTCTAGGCTTTAGGGCCCTGGCACTGATAGGTAGAAAAACAGGGTGATAACTCATCTGAGTGAAGAACATATCCTAGGATGATGGCAAATAGCCTCTTGAATCATATTAGTATTCTTCTCCTGATGTGATGTACTAAAAAAAGACCTTTCTCAGTTTTCTTATCCAAATGTCAGAAATAAAATTAGGAAAGCCACTCCAGCATGTATCTCCAAGGGGGTTGTCTCTGTTATTTAGTGCTGCTATAACAGAAATACCACAAATGGATGGCTTTA